TTCCAACATTCAAACAAAATGACTCAGTTTCAGCAGTTAACACCCTTGATCTTGTTTTAGTTTGTAATCCAAATTGCATTGATTTTCTTCAATGTGGCCCACAGTTAGGCCACTATGAAAAGGAAAGATACCATTACTCCATCACTTAGCAATATTTTACTAGTCTTAGTAACAATACAGTACTCACAAAAGATAAGTTTTGCTTTAAAAAAGGTAATTTTTTTCAAATGAATAAATACTTGAAACAAGTCAACTGGGTTGAGTACTTTTATAACAAATCAGCCTGTGAATGTTATGAGTTATTTTTGCATACATGTAATGAATCTTGTTGATTGTTTATTCCTATTTTGAATAATAAAAAAAATAATAGTCAACCCTGGTTGGATGCAAAATTTAAAAAAGCAATAAAGATTAAATACTCTATGTTTTATTCAACTTTGCATCGGCAAAGTCAAGAATCTCGGAAGACTTTTGAAAAATGTGTGCTAATGTTAAAAAGCAAATCAAAAGATCAACTCGAGAATGCGAAATGGATTTAGTAAAGAGAGCAAAGCTTGCATCAAAACTTTTATTCTCATACGTAAATAAAAAAACAAAACATTAAAACGCAAATTAGAGCAATCAAGAACAAAAAAGATCATATTACAACTGAGATATCAGACATTTCAGATATATTAAATAGGCAATTTCAGTCAGCCTTTGTTAATGATAATGACCAACCAATACCCAAATTCTTGCAAAGATGCGATAACCAGTGCGATTGCAGTAAAATATTTAATATGATTACCTATGATAAAATTCTCAAAATGTTAGAAGGTATAAATGAGTCAAAAGCGATGGCTTTTGATTAAATTAGTCCGTTTGTTTTAAAGCATGCTGCAGAAGGTTTTATGGACCTAATTGTTCATATTTTTAAATTAAGCTTTGACACTGGATGTGTCTCTTACCACTGGTCCGTTGCAAATATATCACCAATTTACAAAGGGAGATCAAAATTTGAACTAGAAAACTACAGACCAGTATCCCTAACATCTGTGATTTGTAAAATGTTCGAAAAGCTCATTCGGGACACAATTCTGCAACATTTAGTTTCAAATAGACTTATATCTGAGGAGCAAACTAGTTTTGTTCCAAATAAATCATGCACAACAAATTTTATTGAGACAATTGACACAATTACATTTGAAACTGCAAAAGGTAAACTGTTATGCGTCATATATCTTAACTTTGCAAAGGCTTTTGATAAAGTAGAACGCAAAAGATTATTGACAAAGATTAAAGCGTATGGTATAACTGGTAAAGTATATAACTGAATTAAAAGTTTTCTTGCAAATAGGAAACAAAGAGTTGCTATTAGTAATACAGTATCAGAATGGGTCTCAGTTACCAGTGGTTCCGTTTTGGGTCCAATGTTGTTTCTGCTATTCATAAATGACCTCCCAGAAGTTGTGCTAAACACATTTAAAATGGATGCTGATGATATCAAAATAATATTCATAGATGATTCCATTGATAAACAAGCGGAAATACAAACCGACCTTGAAGACATTGTGAAATGGTGCAACAATTGGGGTATGGAACTAAACTGCTAAAAAATGTAAGGTGATGAGATTCGGCAATCAGAAAGATTTTCGAGGTATTGATAAAACATACACAATGAATAAAAATGGAATGATTTATGACCTCTCAAACAGTGTAATAGAAAGAGATCTAGGCGTCTTTTTACAACCGGATATGAGGTGGAAGCATCAAACGCAAGTATGCGTTAACAAAGCTTCAAAAATACTGGGGTTATTGAAAAGTACCTTTGAAAGTAGAGATTGTTATATGTGGAAAACTTTGTATACTACTTATGTGCGACCTCATCTTGAATTTGCGGCACCAGCATAGAGTTCTCCGAATGTGGCCGAAATCTCGATGCTTGAAAGAGTTCAACGTAGGGCCACAAAAATACCATACTCAAACCGAATGCTAAGTATTGAGAAACGGCTAGTTAAAATGGATTTAATTAATTTAAGTCTCAGAAGAAAACGAGGATGATCTTATTCATTTATATAAAATATTAAACAATCTAAAATTTGTCAATCTTAATGTCAAACCAGTCTAAGCCAAGCATTAAACTAGATGGCCCATGTTCTTCCATTAGAGGTCTCAAACATAAAATTAGAATGCAGTGTTTAACTCCTTGCGAAATAAATGAATTACATGCATAGGTTAGCTCCAAAATTGTCACAAACAGAGCTTGCCAAATTGGGGAAAAACTTCCGGAAAAAGTTGTAGATTCCGGGAATTTGAATAGTTTTAAAGCAAGTTTAGACAAATGGCTAAAGAAAAACAAGAAAATATTAATTTAAAAGAAAAAGAAAAAAAAAAGTACGAGGCTGCTATAGCTGAACGTTACAACGTCTCAGCTTGTGGAAAAGATCCACGCAGTTTTCCACTAACTAACTAACTAACTACATACATACAAACATATATATATATATATATATATATATAT